CATGGCTTTGCTGGAAGGTCTCCCGGAAGGTCTCCCAGTCTAATTAGCATATTACCCTTTTATTAGTATAGATTTTTACTTACTGGTTTAAACACAATGGGTTTTTTTAGAGTGGAAGCAGGTAGGCAGATAAAGGGGAATAGATTATAGTGGCATATGTGTTACAACGTGAAAAAGGCATATTTAATGTCCCATTTTTTATGTAAAATAAACTACAGAAGATAGGACAGAACTCAACATTTTCTTGATTGATGAGAATGTACCAAGGAAGCACAGATGAAAAAATATCACTAGTGAAGTTCCATGGCTTACAGCAAAATTATTTTTATGTGTAAAATAAATAGTAGTTTTGCTTATTTCAACTGAGGAAGAATTTTATACCACAATTTTATATGTATTTGAAACTTGTACAGCAAAACTTTTTGTCTGTTTTCAAACAGCTTGCGGTTGGCTTTATTGAATGAAGCAAAAGAAGTGCGGGCAGCAGGGCTACGAGCTCTTCGATATCTCATCCAGGACTCCACTATTCTGCAGAAGGTGCTTAAATTGAAAGTGGACTATTTAATAGCCAGGTAATTTTCTGGGAACTATCTATGTTTTTATATGTTTTAAAAATTTGTATTAAGTTTTAGCATACCTATCATAAACTACAAATTTTTAGTGTAGAGCCTGATAACTTTTTACAGGTATAGACAACCAAGTTCCCTGTTATTCCGAATAAGATATAGAACACTTTCAGCATCCCAGTCAAGTTTCCTTGTGTTTTCAACCAGTAATAAACATTGTTCAGGCTTTTCTCTTTATAGACTAGTTTTTCCTGTTCTTGAACATCATATGTTGCAAATCACTGTGTAGTATTTCATGTTATGAATAGATCACAGTTAGTCCGTTCTGTTGATGATTTTCTGACTTGTTTTCAGTGTTTAGCTATTTTGAATAAAGCATTCCTAAACATTCTGTATAATTCTGTTGATGGGCATATACTAGTGTATGCACTCATTTCTCTCAGATATATACATATGTAGGAGTGGAATTGCTGGGTCGTAAGGTTTATGTATATTTAGCGTTAATAGATATTGCCAACAGTTTTCCAACATGATTGTCCTGATTTACATTCTTAGCAACAATGTTTGAGAGTTCCGGTCTCTCCACATCCGCATCAGCACCTGCTATTTTCAGTCTTTAATTATACCCTTTTGACTGTGGTTTTCATTGTGAATTCCCTTTGTGGTTTTAATTTGCATTTCCCTGATGGGTAGTGATGTTAAGCACCTTTTATATTTGGGTATCCTCCTTGTCTTTTGCTCATTTGTAAATTTGATTATCTATCTTGTTTTGTAGGAGTTCTTGATATCTTATGTATGTGACTCCTTTCAGGTGTGCTGTGCATATTAAGAATATTTTTTCCAAATCATTCTGCCTTACCTTTTCACTTTTCTTAATTAATAAAATTCAATATAGAGGTTGTTTGTTTTATAGCTTAATGCTTTAGATCTCTTCGGAAGATGGTATTCTATGTTTTTTCCTAAAGAATTTATTCTTTAATACATTTTAGTAGGTAATGGCCATTTTTATTTTTATCAAATAAATATGAGCAGAATTTGTTGAAAAGGTTTTTTTCACTTCTAGATTAGTGCCACTCTTGTTGTAAATCAGGTATCAGATAAATATGGATTTATTTTGCATTCTTTATTCTCATTAGTTGGTCTATTTGTCCATTCTTGCCCCAGTTTCTCACAGGGTTAATGACTGTAGTTTGAGAATATATTGATACCTGTTAATATAAGTCTTTCAACTGTGTTTCTTCAAGATTCTGTTGGCTATTTTGGGATCTGCATTCCCATATAAATTTTATAATCATCTTGACCATTTCCATAAAAGTTTCTGGGCTTTTAGTAGTAATTACATTGAAGCTCTAGGTTAATTTGGGATGAGTTGACATCTTAATAATGTTGAATCTTCCAAACCTTTAATTATTTGGAACTTTAATTTCTCTCAACAGCATTTTGTAGTTTCTGTGCACAGATCTTGCACATAGTTGTTAGGTTTATTTAAAGTATATTTTAATAATTTATATATTTTTATTTAATGTAATTAATTCACTTTCGATTCTAATTGTTTTTAAAATTATTTTAGAATTTCTATTACATAAGTATTAATTGCAAGTGATGACCATTTTATTTTTCCCTTTCCAATCCTTATATCTTTATTTTTCTTTCCTTATTGCATTGGCTAGAATATTGCACTGACTAGAAATGGTGGAAAACTTTGTTTTGCTCCTTAACTCAGACTACAAGAATTCAGTATTTCACCCTTATTTATGAAACTTGCTATAGGCTTTCAGAGGAATTTTTTCTGTTTTTTGTTTGCATTCCTGAAGTAAACATCACTTGTTCATGATGTCTCATCCTTTTCATGTATAACTGAATTTGGTTTCCTAATATTTTGTGGCAATTTTTTGTAGCTATACTCATGAGAGTTATTGGCCTTCGTTTTTCCATTCTTCTAATGTCCGTGTTTGGATTTTGACAGCAAAAGTATAATTGTTTTATAAAACAACTAGGGAAGTTTTGCCCTCATTATATTCTGTGGAAAAATTTATGTTAGATGGGTCTTGTTTTTTTTCTTACATGATTAGTAGCATTCACCAGTGAGTATGTCTAGGCCTGGGGTTTTCTTTATTGGAGTTTTAAGATTATGGACTCAATTTCTTTAACAGGTAGAGTACTGTTAGTACTATTCTGGTTTTGTACTTCTTGTGTCAGTTCTTGCTTTTTTAAAGCTTTGTTATTGCATTCATAATAAGAATCACTAAACCTTCACATTGGGCGAATCCTTTTATAGTTATGAAATATCTCTCTTTGTCCTTTGTAGTACTTCTTTTATGAGTGTTCATGTTATCTAAATATAGCTGCACAACTTTCTTCTATTTAGGGTTTGTATAATATGTCTTTTCTCATTCACTCACTTTCTATCTTTTCTGTCCTTACATTTAAGTGTCTCCTATAAATATCAAGTGTTGTTTTGTGTTTTAACTCTAGTTTGACATCTTTGTCTTCTAATTGGAGTGCTTAGACTATGTTTAGTGGTTTTTTTATATAAATGGTATCTGGACTTTATCTAATGTAATTACCCATGCATTTGTCATTTAGTTACCAGTTTTTTCATATATTTGAATTTGTTTGCTATCTTGCTATTTGCATTCTATTTGCCACATATGTTCTCTGTTCTTGTGTTTCTCCTTTTTTGTTTCTATTGGAATGATCAAGAATTCTCTTCTTTTAACGTCTTTAGCAGTTGCCGTAGAGATAACAACATGTATCGTTCACCTATTAAGGTCTATCACTTTTATTACAACCAGCACAATGCAGGAAGCCTCTTACAGTTTGACTATATCTTCTCCTCTCTTTTGTGTTATCACTATATTTATTATTTCTATATATATTTGTAACCTACTAACCCACAGGATAGTATTGTTATTGTTTTAAACTTCAACAGTTGATATTTACCTACATTATTTATGCGCCCCAGTAGTCTTCCTTTTTGCATTTCCACACTTTCATCTTGGATCACTTTCTGTCTGCTTGATGAATTTTCTTTACTGTTTCTGGTAGTGCAGGTTACTGGAGATAAATTCTCTCATCTTTTATTTTCTGTAAATGCCTCTCCTTTGCCTTCCTATTTGAAGGCTTTTTAAAATGACCTGTTACTATTTTTCAGTGCTTCAAATAAATTTTTTTGGATATATTTTATTTTTACCTGTTGCACAATAAGTTGTTGCTCATTTTTGTTGTTCCTTTGTAAGTGATGTAAGTGATGTGTCTTTTTTTTTTTTTTTAATCCTTTCCCGGGGATATTTTTCCATTGATTTTTTTTTTTTTGGTGGAAGAGAGAGGGAAAAACAGAGAGAAATACCAGTGTGAGACAAACCCATTTATTGGTTGTCTCCTGCATGTACCCTGACCAGGTCCTGGGCCAGGGAGAAGGCTGCAACTGAGGTACGTGCCCTTGACTGGAATCAAACCCAGGACCCTTTGGTCTGCAGGTCAACGCTCTAGCCGCTGAGCCAAACCAGCTAGGGTTGATGTGTCTTTTTTTCCTCTGGCTACTTTAAATGGTTGTTTTTGGTGTTGCTGTTCTATTCTTTCCTATCCTCTGGTACTCCAGCTATATAGGTTGAATCTGTTCATCCGTTCACTGCCCCCTGATTTGTCTGATACCCTTACTATACTTTCATTCTTTGTTGTTAATCTTTGTGCTTCAATGTGGCTTTTTTAATTCCTCCATCCTGCTAGTAAATCAGTCTCTTGAATTTTTAATTTTAGTTGTCTTTCTATTATTTTACTCTTATTTAAAGATTTTAGGTTTCTCCTATTTCTTTATTTTCTACTTCCTTGAGCATATTAATTATAGTTATTTATAGAGCCCTGTAATGACAACTCCAGTATGTGAATCACTTGTGTTGTTTCTATTGTCATTTTCTTTTCTTACTTTTTTGTTTACTTGGCCCTTCGTTTGTTTAAAGCATATTTTATATTATCTGATTAGATGTGAACATTGTATACCAAATTTTTGGCTCTGGATCATGTTATTCTTCCCTTAAGAGAGTTAAGATTTATTCTGGAATGTTGGCATATCATGCTGACGGTTTTAGCTTTGCCTTTCCTCTAGGAAGTGGCTATTTGATCTCAAATGAAAGTGTAGATATTCAGCAGAACTTCTTCACCTTGACTAGAATTGAGGCCTGACATCTATCTTGGTATTATGTACCTGCTAAAATTTCTGCTCAGTTTCTTAACTTCTCAGCAGTAGGTTTTTTGTTTGTTTTTTTAATTTATCTTTATTGTTGAAAGTATTACAGATGTCCCCTTTTTTCCCCAATGACTTCTCCTTCTCTCCCCCCAGGCCTTCCCACACTGTTGTCTCTGTCCATGGGTTATGCATATATGCATATAAGTTATTTGGTTAATCTCTCCTCACCTACCCACCCACCCCCACATTTGATAGTCTGTTCCATGCTTCTATGTCTCTAGATCTATTTTGTTCATCAGTTTATTTTGTTCATTAGATTCCACTTATGAGTGAGATCATGTGATACTTGTCTTTCTCTGACTGGCTTATTTCGCTTAGCATAATACTCTCCAGGTCCCTCCATGCTGTCTCAAGGGGTAAGAGATCCTTCTTTTTCACAGCTGCATGGTACTCCATGGTGTAAATGTACCACAGCTTTTTTATCTACTCATCTACTGATGGGCACTTGGGCTGTTTCCTGATTTGCTGTTATGAACATAGGGGTGCATATATTCTTTCTGATTGGTGTTTTGGGTTTCTTAGGATGTATTCCTAGTGGTCAAGTGGCAGTTTCATTTGTAATTTTTTTGAGGAAACTACATACTCTTTGCAGTCTGCGGTGTTTACCTATGCCGCCATCTTGGTCTCGCATATATTCTTTCTGATTGGTGTTTTGGGTTTCTTAGGATGTATTCCTAGTGGTCAAGTGGCAGTTTCATTTGTAATTTTTTTGAGGAAACTACATACTCTTTTCCCTAGTGGCTGCACCAGTCCCCATTCCCAGCAGCAGTGTACTAGGTCAGCAGTAGCTTTTTGCTTGCTTTCTTGGATTTTAATCCTACTTTTGCACAACATAGAAATTGGCAAGTACCTTGAAGAGGGTATTGTATGCAGATTTGAGCTCACTTTCCTGTATTTTCTTCTCTATGGGATTTCACCCTCAAGTCCCAGAGTTCAACCTGTCCCTTCAATCCAACAGGACTTTTGCTTTCTGCTAAGACTCTGTTTCCCTAAAACTAGGGAATGACAAGGGCCCCCAGTGACAAAGCATGGGGTGAATGTGGAGTTTGTGCTTCTCTTTAGAAGGATTATTATCCATTGCCCTTTTAACAGTGTCTTTACAAAGTAGTTTGTTCAACATTTATAATTGTGTTTGGCAGGAGGGTGTATCTGAGCCAATCCTCTCTGTTGTGGCCAGAAATGGAATTCTATGTCTATTTATGTTTTAATAAAATTTCTCTCGATTAATTATATAAAGAGAGAAGTAATGCTTTTGAATAGCAAACTATATATAAAGTGTTGGTTAGAATAATGACCTGTGTAAATACAGATGAAATGGCTTAATCAGAGACTAGAAATTGAACAATTTAATACATTTTAGAGAGAAGTGTCAATTAAGTGATATTTGATTGAGCATTAATTTTTGGAGTGCATTCAGATTTCAAATTATATTTTGGCAAAATAGAGTTATTGTGGCTAGTACATAAAACTTTTAACTCAGTCACAATACAGAGGTGGGGCAAAAGTTCATTAACAGTTGTTCATAGGGAAAATAATACAATAATTAATGCAAGAATAAACTTTCACATGCTCACAACTGTAAATCTACTTTTGCCAACCCCTGCATATAAAAGTTAGGCCTTGGTTAAAATCACAACTAAATTGTAAGCTTAAAATACTTGCCTTTCACAGTTTTTTATAAAATATCTGAATTTTATCAAAGATAGATGAATATATTTCTCAGTAGATTTCTAGTACTTTGCTCTATATTTATTATTTCTGTATAGACATATATAATTCTGTGACTGACTTGTTATATTCTATAGCATTTCCTAGAGTTGTAAATGAAGTAGTTTTGAAATGTTTTATTATAGTAAGTATTTATCACTAGAGATATGTAAGCTAACTAAATATCAGCTGGTAGTACAAATTCATGTGTATTAAACATTTTAAATACCATATTGACATTATGAATATGGGTCTGATTTAGTGGTATTGTTTTACAAAAACTTGTTAATAAGACTTTTATCAATAATCATTTTGTTTATTATTTAGGTGCATTGACATACAGCAGAGCAACGAGGTAGAGAGGACACAAGCACTTCGATTAGTCAGAAAGGTATGCTCCATGTCTAAAAGTAAAGGCAGATTTATGGTTTCCATGTTAAGTATTTTGCATTTTTAGATTTAGACTATTTTATGAAATCTTCTTATTAAAACCTAAAGCTAAATTCTCAGTAAATATTTTTAAGATTATATATGAGTTAAATAGATTTATGAAACTTTGAGGTGAGCATAAATATTTGTGTAATTATTCTATGTTATTAGGTATAGCTAGAGCAATATTTTTTATAAAATGTTTATTGTAAAGAGTATTTCTCTCTTTAGTAGACATGCAAATGAAATTAATGTTTTGATATGTTATTGAAAAAAGAGGACTACGTGCTTCTTCCCTTGATTTTTCCCTTAAATATATTCTTGGAATTAATACTATTAAACGGATGCCCAAATAATTGCAATAGGTGTTTTGAAGATAAATTTGGATACAATTTATAGGCAGCTGCAATAAGAATTCAGGCCATTGTGTATGATAAAAAGTCAAAATCTCAATTTCTGCAAGAGAATTTGTTAAGGTTAATCCATAATGCTTCTAGTGAGAGGCCTTCAAGAAAGTTTTTGTTCTTACATGTAATGTGATGCCCTAAGGGTAGAGGAACAGTGAACTGAGTTAGCTTTGTTAGGACATAGCTTGTGAAAGAATTTTATCATGTTTCATCTTAAAGTATCATGTTTGCTTCTAAACATTCATGAGACTCATGAAGTATATGCTTGTTTTAATGTAAAAACATCTAAAATTATTTATCAATTAAGTTTTTTGGCTTTTCTCTTTCCCCACCTTGGAATTCAGTGCATGCTCCAGAATGTGCAGTGTTGAGTTTGTACATTAACTAGATTCCTTCTTTTTCCTTTTTCTTCCAATTGTCTAGCTTGTGTTAGGAATAGTATCTACTAGTGAACATAGTAAGGAAGAGTAAATGGATGAGTTGTCTTAAGAGATGTTTGTAATTTTTTTAAAGAGTGAGGTTGGAAATTATGAATTTTTGTTACAGGTAAACATATTGGAACCATAGTTTGTGTCTTTACATTTAAAAATTAGATTTATGAATTTGATTTATTCATACAATCTCTCCTACTGCCATGATTTTGAGAATTCAAGATAAGAAAACAAAGTTGTACGCCCTAACCGGTTTGGCTCAGTGGATAGAGCATCAGCCTGCGGATTCAAGGGTCCCAGGTTCAATTCCGGTCAAGGGCATGTACCTTGGTTGCAGGCACATCCCCAGTAGGGAGTGTGCAGGAGGCAGCTAATCGATATTTCTCTCTCAGCGATGTGTCTAACTCTCTATCCCTCTCCCTTCCTCTCTGTAAAAAATCAATAACATATTTAAAAAAAAAAAAAAGAAAACAAAGTTGTTTCTGAAGAACCTAGAATAACTTTTTGGTTATTAGAGTTATTTATGTCAATATTTATCATATTAGGGATTAAATTGAGACATTAAAATATGTTAGCATATTAAAAATAACATAATCATTACATGTAAACATAGATAACATTTTAATAAAAGTAACTATTTTTAAAAAGAAAATGAGTAGAGTGGCATTATATTAGATTTTTGCAAATAATGTCTGTCTTGATAGAAGATAGCTGGATTATCATATTTGCTTTGGTATTCAATCTGATGTGTTTTCACACATGCAATGGTCTCTGGAAAACTTCAATATATACTTGTGAGAGAATGAGAGTAGAAAAAGACAAATAAGGTCTTTGGTTTATTATGAAAACAGTTTACCTTTGCAGAATCCCTGAAAATGTCCCTTAGTTTCCTAGATCACACTTTGAGAATTGTTGCCCTAGAAATTGCGTTCAGAAGAAAAGACCACTCCAAATGGACTCAAACAATTAAATTCACTTTTAAAAAATTATTTAAAGAACATTTTATTTCAATTTTGTAAACATTTTTGTACAGGTTACAAAATGGCCAGTAAAATAAACAGATTCTTGAAAACAATTTTTTTTTAAATTAAATCTTTATTGTTCAGATTATTACATTGGTTTCTCTTTTTCCCACCATAACTCCCCTCCACCCAGTTCCCACCCCACCCTCCGCCCTCACTCCCCACCCACTGTCCTCATCCATAGGTGCACGATTATTGTCCAATCTCTTCCAGCACCCCCCACATCCCTTTCTCCCCTCCAAGAATAGTCAGTCCATTCCCTTTCTATGTCCCTGATTCTATTA